GATCTCCCACAGCACCACGCCGAAGGACCTGCCAGCACGCCACTGCTCAGCCGGGGGACGTCCCCCGAATCCCCCTGGGCTCCCCCCCACCCCAACACCTACCAGACGTCAGACTGTGTGTTGAAGATGCCGTCCTTGAGGGCCTCGGGGGACATCCAGCGGACAGGGAGCAGCCCCTTGCCCCCTTTCCGATAATAATCCGTCTCGTAGATATCCCGGGTCATGCCGAAATCTGGTGGAGGAGGAAGAGGAGGAGGAAGAGGAGGAGGGAGGCGTGAGCACCGGGAGAGGCGGTTTTTTGTCCCGGCGAGCCTGCCCGCCGCTGCCCTCCCACCTCCGATCTTGACGGTGAAGTCCTCGGACACCATGCAGTTGCGGGCGGCCAGGTCCCGGTGCACAAACTTGTTGGCGTTGAGGTACGCCATGCCGTCGGCGATCTCACCCGCCATCTGGATCATGTCCTTGAGCGACGGCGGCGGCAGCCCGGGGTTGTTCTGCACCAGGCACAGAGAGCCGGGGCTGGGGGGGATGCACCAGGACACCCACCCCCCCTCAGGAACAAGGTGGGTGCCCCTTTACCCGTGGGGCACTGTGGCACCTGGCCAGCCCCTCACCTCGGCGTCAGGCCTGAGCGAGCGCAGGTAGCTCTTCAGGTCCCCGCGTGTCATCAGCTCCATGATGACCAAAGCTGGCTGGCCCTGGGACACGACACCGAGCAGACGGACCTGGGGGGGACAAATGGGGTGTGTGCCCCCCCCCCCCCCGTGTCCCCTCCCTCCCTTCCGGCCGCCCACCTACCACATGGTGGCACTTGAAGGCTTTCATGACGGAGGCCTCGTTGAGGAACTCGATGCGCTCCCGCATGGTGGCCAACTCGTTGACCGTCTTCAGGGCCACCTTGGTCTCCTCGCCCTCGGTGGCCAGCCCCAGTGCCAGCCCCTCGTACACCATCCCGAAGGAGCCCTGCCCCAGCTCCCGGATCACCGTGATCTTCTCCCGCGACACCTCCCACTCATCGGGGATGTACACTGCAGGGTGAGGGGGCACCACCCCGTCACCATCCCCATCACCGTCACCATCACCGTCACCATCCCTGTCACCATCTCCATCCCCATCCCACCCCCATCTTCATCCCCATCACCAGCCCAGCCCAGCCCAGCCCCAGCCCCACCGGCATGGCCCCAGCAAGGGAAGGGGGCAGCCGACCCCACGAGGACGCCCCTGCCTCCGTCACCATCCCTGTCACCATCTCCATCCCCATCCCCATCCCATCTTCATCCCCATCACCAGCCCAGCCCCACCGGCATGGCCAAGGGAAGGGGGAAGGGGGCAGCCGACCCCACGAGGACGCCCTTGCCTGTCCCTACGTACTGTCCGAGGCACTGAAGTACTCGGGGTTGACGGAGGCGTAGAGCGTCCCGCTGGGGTACCCGTCGTTGCTCCTGTGAGGGGTGGGCATCACTCAGAGGATGGGGGGCGAGGGCACGATGCCACCTCCCCACGATCCTTCCCCAGCCCCGGCCCGGCTGGATCCGGCCCCAGCCCAGCCCTGGGGGTGCAGGGGGGGTCGCTACCTCTTCTTATTGTAGAAGAAGACGAAGACGGCGAGGCAGGAGATGAGCACCATGAGGACCACGGGCGTGACGGTGAGCAGGACGTAGAAGCTGCCGGACTCCTCCTCGGCTGCCGGGAGCAGGCGGCCATGGGCCAGGGCCCGGGCACTCATCCCGCCCCACGTGTTGGAGGGACACTTGTCCCACCACCACCACCGGGCCAGAGAGGGGGTCCCCCTAGCTCCCCAGACCAGCAGCACCCACTGATCTCTGGGTGTCCCCGTCCCAGAACATCCCCCAATCCCCTGGATCCCCCAATCCAGCGGCATCCCCTGACCCTCCAGCTTCCCAGTGCAGCAGCATCCCCCATCCTCAGCATCCCGGTCCAGGAGCATCCCCTGATCCTCAGCATCCTGGCCCAGCAGTGTCCTCTGGATCCCCAGCTCCTCAGTTCAGGAGCACCCCCCAGTCCCTCAGCTCCCCAGTCC